GGATTTGAACCCGCCACCTTAGGTGTATGTGGCTGGCGCCTTAGCTACTTGAGCCACAGGTGTCGAGCCAACAGAGATAATTTTGAAAGGTCAGTGGAAAGTCCTCAGTGAAATGTGACACAAACCTGGAAGGAACATGTGCACAGTACACTACACTCTGTGTCCTTGTGTTGCATGTGCTGGGACACGGGGCAGGAGGAGACCAGGGAACTCGCCAGGTCCCTGCTTCCCCCACAGGATCGCTGATGCAATTTCTACAGATGCCCACAGACCCTGGAGGGCCTAAATGGCAGCTCAAAGGCCAAAGCAGCATGCTAATGACATTTTCAGAAATCTGGGACAGTGCTCAGGAAAGACACAAACCTAAAGTATCCACCAATTAATAAAATAGTGACATTCTTAGATAACTCTGTACACATTAAACAGTGTCTCTCCCTCTCAAAAAAACTCCTTTAGGTTGTGTCTAAAACGTAGTGGTCTCTAACTGTAAACAGGTTTTTCTCCTTCATAAATGCTCAGCAGATGCTCAGAAGTCAAGAGAATCTTCTCTGGGAGGGACTTTTGTGTGCACCTTGTCTGGACACCTGACCTGGCAGGGCACCCAGCACTGAGGAACAAAAAATGCCACTGAAGGTTTACATGGTGCCACTAGGTGGCAGTGTCACCCCTGTTGAGAAAGTCTGGCCTCAGTTTAGGAATGAAAAATGGGGGTAAGAGGAGGGCACCCATAGCTCAGTGATAGGGCGCCAGCCACATGCTCCCGGGCTGGTGGGTTCGAACCCGGCCCAGGCCTGCTACACAAAAAAAAGTAGCTGGGCTTTGTGGTGGGCACCTGTAGTCCCAGCTACTAGGAAGTATGAGACAAGAGAATCGCTTAAGCCCAAGGGTTTCAGGTTGCTGTGAACTGTGAAGCCATAGCACTCGACTGAGGGCAACATAGTGAGACTGTGTCTCAAAAACAAAAAAAGAAAAATGAGGGGAGAATAATTGGACTTTTAGGAGAGCCATGAGTTTGTAGCAGCACGGTTATAGCAGCAGCAGCAGCAGTGGCTCAGCCCGGGGAGATCAACAGCAAAGGAGCCGCTGCCTGGACCTAGAGCTGCCAGGAAAGGTCCAGCCAGAAGTGAGACGCCCTTCACGGGTCCCTCTGGGTTAAGTCATTTATACAGTTCCTGCCACGTGCTGGGGACACCATCTCTACCCTGGAGTGGCTCCTGGTCTAGAAGGACAGAGCATGACATAATTACAAAGTCACGGGGTCACCACAAAAAGCCATACATGGCCTGAGCTGCCTGGGGAGGAAGCTTGTAGGAGGACATGACAGGCAGGATAGGTTTGGGGGGGGGGGTGCACAGGAGCAGATGGAAAGCTCCTGGGTAAGGGCGAAGGGAGAAATCTTAGGCTATAGGCGACAGATACAAATGGGTCCTTGTGGCTTGGCACGTGTGGCTCAAGTGGCTAAGGCGCCAGCCACATACACCTAAGGTAGCGGGTTCAAATCCAGCCCGGACCCGCCAAACAACAATGACAGCTGCAACCAAAAAATAGCCGGGTGTTGTGGCGGGCGCCTGTGGTCCCAGCTACTTGGGAGGCGGAGGCAGGAGACTCGCTTGAGCCCAGGAGCTGAAGGTTGCTGTGAGCTGTGAAGCCACAGCACTCTACCCAGGGGGGATAGCCTGAGGCTCTGTCTCAAAAAAAAAAAATGGGTCCTTGTTAGGGAGCAGGGCAGGGTGGTGGGAAGAGGGGCACCAGGACAGCACAAGCAATGCATCACCATGTGAACCTTGAGTAGATTCTATTGGTGCACTGAGCACCTTGCTGACACCGACCCTGTAGAAGCCCTTGGGTGTTAGTGGGTGGATGTTTTCACCCGTGTGTACCTCCCCAAGGCTATGATCAGGGCTGAGTCTCCATCTCCCATCCTCAGCACTGTGCTTAGCACAGGGGTGGCCTCTGTAAATGTGAATCCTGAAGTATCCTGTGTTGGGGGCTTCCTACTGCTCCCCTGCGGGACTAAGAAAGAAGAAAATGACAAGGGCATGGTGTCCCCTTCCCTTCTTCCATCCTCTCTTACCATCACAGCCCTAAAGGAACCAGACCCCTGCGCACAGAGGGGAACAGGCGCCCCAGCAGGTCAGGCAGGGCAGATCCAATCTCCTGCTTAAACTGAAGCTTCACGCTGGTTCCACCCAATTTGCTGGGCATCAGATCACAGTGGAAACAGACGAATCCATGTAGTCAGAACAGACCTGGTTGCCAGGAGTTGTGGGTGGGGAGGGAGGCGGGGGTCATGTCAAGTGACCACTACTGTGTGCAGAGCTCCCTCTCAGGGGGATGCAGATGCTTTTGAACCAGACAGCAGTGCTGGAGGAACAACAGGAAACATACAAAAACCCTTGCCTCACACACCTGAAAGCAGTGACTCTGATGGTAGGTGAATTTTATCTGAATTTTAAAAACAAATTCAGGGCCGGGTGCAGTGGCTTATATCTGTAATCCCAGCATTCTGGGAGGCTGAGGTGGGTGGAATGCGAGCTCACAGGTTCAAGACCAGCCTGAGCCAGAGGGAGACCCCATCTCTAAAAATAGCCAGACATTGTGGCAGGCAACCATAGTCCCAGCTACTTAGAAGGCTGAGGCAGAAGAATCGCCTAAACCCAAGAGTTGGAGGTTGCTGTGAGCTGTGACACCACTGCACTCTACCAAGGGCAAAAAAGTGAGACTCTGTCTCCAAAAAAAGGAAAAGAAAAAGAAATTCAGTGGAAACAAAACATTATTGGACTTGGAGAAGGAACATTAGGAACCAGAAGAATCATGATTTGAAGGCAGCACCCATGGCCCAGTGGTTAGAGTGCTGGCCCCGAGGGTGGCGGGTTCAAACCCAGCCCCAGACAAACTGCAACAAAAAATGGCCAGGCATTGTGGAGGGCGCCTGTAGTCCCAGCTACTCAGGAAGCTGAGGCAAGAAAATCACCTAAGCCCAAGAGTTGGAGGTTGCTGTGAGCTGTGATGCCACAACACTCTAGCAAGGGCAATAGGGTGAGACTCTGTCTCATTAAAAAAAAAAAAAAAGAATCAAGATTTGAGTCTTTTTTCTGTGACAAAGCAGCTCTTTTTCTCCTCTGTTCAGGATACACACCGAGGACTCTTCATCCAGCAGCTCCGGCTCACGCAGAACCTGCAGCCCAGGATCAAGCTCAAGCTGTTCGGCCACTCAGGGGCCAGGAAGACCACCCTGGTGGAGTCGCTCAAGTGCTAAGGACCTTCTTCCGGAGGCACCAGCCCAGATCCTTCTCCAGCAGCTCTAGCAGGTTCCCGCCCTCACCCCTGGCCACTAAGCCTGTAGGTAGGAGGCCCCTCAGGGCCCCTGTCCCTCTCTAGGCAGTGACTGCACTGCCATGTCATGGAGAGATGGTTGTTTTCTGTGGCTTAATCCAGTGGCTTTAGTGGCTTTCAATTATGGGCCAGACTGGCTGGTGGCCTTATGTGCACATGGCCCTCCTCAGGGCTCTGTCCTTGGAGACAGAAGTCACAGACAACACGGGCCCAAGCACAGCACAGACCAGGTGCAGCGAGGGGACCTCACCCCTCATGCTTCTTCTTGGAGGACTGCGGGGACACCCAGTGTTGTGAAGACCTGCAGCAGCAAAGTCAGATCCCCAGAGAGCCCCGTTCCTGCTCAGGTCAAAGTCGGGTAGCGGTTTCCATGTCTGTCGGTCTGGTCACAGAGACCCTCCTTGGGAAGCTCTGCCATCTCCTTGATCTTCCACAGACAGGGTTATGGATTCACAGCGGGGCTGGCAGGACTCACTCCCAGCACTGCAGGGCCGCCTGTCTTCCCGGGGAGGGGCATAAGTGGGGAGCAGGAGAAGACAGAGCCCTCTTGGCCGTGGTTGCTCCTGAACCCCCTTTGGAAGGAATTGATTGTTTGGAAGATAAGACTAGAGGCCTTGGTAGAGTTTCCCACACAATGTCAATTTGGGCTGTGTGCCTCGGATTCATACAAAAGAAATCAGTTCTGTCCCTCAGTGGAACACCAATGTGGTAAAGTCGGCTTTGGTGACTTCCTTCCTCAGTGAGAGAGGAGGTCTGAGGAGCATCTGTAGCCAGGGGACGGTGAGATTTACACACCCTCTTCCATGTCCTTTCTCTGAACACAGTAGTAGAATTGAAACGTAGGGAGGCGAGAATCACTAGAAAGGATTTACAATTCATGTGATGCAATATGGCTGGGACGTATGCTAATAACCACTGCGCCCCAACTGTGCCAGGAACTAGGCAGAATAAAGTGCGTGTGACTCCTCAGTCAAGCCACACCGCAGCCTTCCAGGGAGTTTCTACCACTGTTTTACTGCAGCCTGGAGGGGTCAGCTGGCTGCCCTGAGTCACACAGCCTGCGAGTCACAGTGTCTGGTGCCTGAGCCAGTGCTTACTAGTGACGCACTGGGAAGGTTATTTACATGTACACGAGTCTATTTTCCACTATAATTTGGTTCTTGAGAGTGTAATATGGGCTCCCCCTTCCCTGAAGGCGCTCATTTTCCAGATTTGATGATCAGGGCCCTCCTCTGTGGGTGTCCAGGGCAGTGTCACCTTCTAGCTCTGCTCCTCTTGCAATTCCTGCTATCACCCCTAGAGGGAGGTAGCTCCCTCCGGCTGTGGGGTAAGTCCCTGCACTGTGAATGGGTGTGAGGAGGGGTGTGTGTGAGGCTTGGTGCCCATAGCTCAGTGAGTATGGTGTCAGCCACATACACTGAGGCTGGTGGGTTTGAGCCCAGCAGGGCCAGCTAAACAACAAGTGACAACTGCAACCAAAAATAGCTGGTCATTGTGGCGGGCAACTGTAGTCCCAGCTACTCAGGAGGCTGAGGCAAGAGAATCGCTTAAGCCCAAGAGTTTGAGGGTGCTGTGAGCTGTGACTCTACTGCACTTTACAGAGGGTGACATAATGACACTCTGTCTCAAAAAAAAAACAGAATGAGAGTGTGTGTGTGATGAAGGTGTCACTGACCCGGATTTTTGTGAAGCCTACGCAGGTGTGAAGGTCATGCCCCTGGCATGTGAAGTCCCAGGAGGGAGAGATTTCACCTGCTGCTCCACCCTAATCCTCAGAGGCACCCCCTCCATCACCTATCTCCCTCTGATCAGTTTTCCATATCTAGTCTTTGACACAACTCAGGGTGGCCACTTTGCAACTTGCCCCACCAGGTGGACAGCGGCCTCACCAGTGTTTAGAGAGAAGTGGGACCTGGGAGCTGTGACAGAAGATGCCTTGGAGGGTGGTCTACATGGGGACTAAAGGAGCCCCCAGCTGCCCTCAGCACATGACCTTTGGGGTCTGATGAGGAGGCTGCTCCCCTGATCCTTGGCCCCCGTAGTCAGAGCAGCTTCCCCAGTCCCATGGCCGTTTCTAATTCAAGCCACCTGGCCAGGGGCGCCCAGCTCCTGCTACTGTGTGGTTGGGAGGGTGGACACTGCTCTTCCTTCCATCCCTGCCATTCAGTCTTTAGAACCCATCTGTTAGGGTGACCAGACGTCCCGCTTTTGGCGGGACAGTCCCACTTTTCAACATTTTGTCCTAGCGTTTTAAAAAAGTCCCGATTTTTGGAAAGAATGCACGAATGGGCAGGAGAACAAGAAAGGAATATACGGTTTTCAGTGGCCATGTGGCTATTTCTCCAGAATATGAGTTTTATATTATTTTTGTTAATTTTATAATGTTAAACTGTAATAATAACAAATAATTGCTGAGAAGAGATTATCGACAACTGCTTATCAAAGTTTGCATTGTTGTCAGGCCCTGCCCTGCCACGTCCCCACCCCCTCCCCACCCCCACCCGGGCCATGTTGTCCCGCCTTATGGATGTTAAAATCTGGTTACCCTACATCTGGTGTCCCATCATCTCAGGGCCTGCTGGTCATAATAACTACTAAGGGGAATTGAAGGGACAGACCGTCCCATATGTGTCCCCTGTTCCTGGGAGTGAGTGTCTTAGTGGTCTCAGAGGACTCTGAGAAAGTCCTCTGGGGAATTGTAAGTCTTAAGAGAGTGACATGGCTCGGTGCCTGCGGCTCAAGTGGCTAAGGTGCCAGACACGTACACCTAAGATGGAGGTTTCAAATCTAGCCTGGGCCTGCCAAACAGCAATGACGGCTGCAACCAAAAACAAAACAAAACAAAATAAAAATAGCCGGGCATTGTGGTGGGTGCCTGTGGTCCCAGCTACTTGGGAGGCTGAGGCAGGAGACTCGCTTGAGCCC